AAGTGCGGCCCTAGGCGGGTGTTTTTCTCGGGACGTGTGAAACACAACCTCGAGCAGTTTTTATTTTATCTCAGGATGCGTGAAGCATGGCTCTGGGCGGGTTTTATCTCGAGATGCGTGAAACGTGAGCCTGAGCAGTTTTCGTTCCATCTTGGGATGTGTGAAACGCGACCTCGAGTGGTTTTATTTCTCCGGACGCGTGAAACACGGCCTTGGGTGGGTTTCATCTCAAGATGCGTGAAACGCGAGCCTGAGCAGTTTTCTTAGTTTCTCAAGATACGTGAAATGCAACCCTGAGCGGTATTTTCTTTCCTCGTCCCGTGTTTTGGCGTGGTTAGAGTGTGTTTTGGGTCTTTTCGCTTTTAAAGCTTGAAGCTGCTTATTCATATGTTGTTGCATCATATTGCTTATTACACTTGTTATTTGCTTATTGTATCATCTTGCATGATCATAAGTTTTCAAAATAGTCAACTTCGCGAAGCGTGTGAGTCCAGCTTTCAAAGTTGCATTGTGTATATCATTTGCATTTTGCCCCAGAACTACGTTGGTTTGATTCCTTGCAAAGGGATACGTAGGCAGCCTGCAGGTGTAACCATTTATTTCTGTCTTAATTGTTTGTCCAAGTGTTACGGCCTTGTCAAAAATGGGTCGTCTCCGGGCTTTGATATTCACTCACGTCATTTCATGACTCCGAGTTATGTCAAAGAGGGGCAACCGTAGACACCCAATTTTTGATGACTCTTACGACTTGGACGCCATCGCATGCACACCCGATGACGAGTCTATTTGCTTGCCAGGTGCTCGAAGTCCTCAGTGGAATGCCACAGCTTTGAGCCCTTTAAACCCTACACCCCTGTTGTCTCATTCTTGGACCAACCCTTGGTTCTTCAAGCCTGCAGCCTCTAGTGGCCTGCCGGCCACTTATAGAGGCTGCCGGCCATCACTTTTGGTTGCCGGCCACCAGTGTCTTTTGCAGATATTTTGTGACAGTTGTGCCAGCTATTTGCAGAGATGCATCCATCTGCCCCCACGTATAGGGCTGAATGTTTTTGAGGGAGATTCATGTTCTCTATATATAGAGGGCCTCTTTCCCATGTTTTAAGGTTAGAAAAATTTCGAAGCAAAATTTTTCCTCTCTCTACCAAATTTCTACACTTTTGCCTATACACCCTTAACCTTTTGCCTATACACCCTTAACCAAACCTTCTCATCTTTGAGCTGAGGTGTCTTTGAGGCTTGTTTGAGCTCTTGAGGGTGTTGTTTGATTGGTTTTGTTGCTTGGAATTGATTTCATCTTCAAAACGTACAAGGCTTTGCCTATTTGCTTGCTTTAACTATTCTTTTTCTTGCAATTTTCCAATTGTTTTTGGGCTGTAAAACTTTTGTATTTTTGGGCTGAAGCTTGGGTTTTATGGCCATTAAAGGTTGAGGCGTTGATAGCCTTTCTTTACACCTTGTTTTGAAGGCCTTTGCCCTTGTGTTTCCCTTCCCTTGTACTATCCATTTTTGAGTTTTTAAACACTATTTTTCAGAGTTATTTCAATGGCCAAAATCATGTTTTGAAGTCTAAATTTGGAGGGGTTAGCCTCCCCTCCTTGTGTCTTGCTTACTAGCCTAGCTTGTGCTATGTTTTAGCTTATTATTCTAGCTATTTTTGTCTTAATTCCAGCATGTTTTAGGACTTATTTTAGGCTGTTTTAGTACTATTTTTGGTTGATAGTTGCATTTGAGCTTTGTTTTGTATGCTTGTAGTGTAATTGTCCTCAGAAGTTTGGTGTTCTAGGCCTTAGACACCACTTTATTTGAGTTGATTGAATTTATTTATGACTTTCCATACTTGTGATCACTCCTAATCACCTCTGCAACCTCCCCCTTTCTTGGCTTTTGTTTTGCTTTGAAAGTAGTTCAAACAACTTGTTTGTTTAAGCATGAGATTGAAGTGTCATGCTTGATAGTTTAATCCCTTAGAGGGTTCATTACCAACTGTATGATGTCTCTTTCATGCCTAAAACACCTCTTGGTGTGAGCCTTCTTTCCATTTAGAGGACTTAAACTCACCATTGGACTCAATTGATTAAAGGATGGTTGGTAATTCAAATGGAGTAATAAAATGGGGATAAAAATAGTACAAGATAATAATTAGTTTTGTATTCGATCAGACGTTAATTGAACACATGGAAACTTGAGGCACTTCATACTCATTAGTGATGAAATGATTTAAGTTTCCAAGGTCACTATTTTCCTTGATCATCCATGATAGGGAGGTAGTTTTATGAGTCTTATTTTGTTGCATTTATTGAACTTGCACACTTTGGTTCACAAGCCATCATGCAATGAAATTGCTTAAGTTGGTGGTTTGTGGCTTAAGTTTACTGCTCCTTTGATTGGTTCATGAAAATGAGGGGTGAGTTGTGCAGACAATCCTTGAGAATACCCTGTGCATGCTATGTTTGCTCTCTGTTGCAGCAAGATGAACTGTGCATCAGTGTTCGGTAGGCCACTTTCCATGGCCGGCAGATGGTCGACAGGCCACCTTTGATGGCCAGCCGGCTATAACTGGTGGCCAGCAGGCCTCATCACTGGCCAGCCGGCCACTGATGCAAAATTTAGCAGTGTGTTCTTGAAGTAGAGTAGAGCTATTCAGGAAGTGGGCAACAGTGTAAGTATTTTCTATGCAACAGAGGCTTTTCGGAAGCAAAACGGTGGCCTTTTTGGGTGGAAACCGAGCATGCGTATGAACATCCCTCGCTTCTCGAGGCATAGTGTAGCTTAGTACTTAATTGTTTAGCTTAATTACTTCTTTTAATTGCACTTGTTTTGTAATTATTTAATTAGTTAAAGTAGTTAGCTTGTTGTGATGTTGTAATCATTAATTAACTAGAATAGTTAGTTAATTCATATGTTGTTGTAATCATTAATTAAGTAGCTTAGCTAATTATTCATTTCGGTTTGTAATGGTTAGCTTAATTAACTTAGCTTAGCTAGTCAACTAGCTTAGTTTATCGGGACTCTCCTTCGTGAGAGCACAATGTAATGTGTATGTCTTCTAACTCCTTGTCTTTTTCCCTTTTATTTCCCTTTTATTTACTAGCTTATGATGGTTAGTTTAGGGACATCGTGTTTTGTTTAGCATGCTTCATGTTTGCATCCATTTGTATTGCATGCATCGGGGCTCGGTACATCATTCTGACTTACGTTGCTAGTTTAAATACTTCTTTGAATACATGCTTAGACCGCATGCTATTTAATTTATTCCTATGCCATATTAGTAGCCAAGCCTAGTAATTGCATATCGCATATGTTGCATTAGTCATAGTGCATAGTTAGGATCATGCATTGTTCTAACTTTTTTATTTTTTTGGCTTGGAGTATTAGGTAAGTTTTTATTTGCTTTAGCATATTACATGAATGTGATTGTTGCCATGTCTAACATGCTTGCCATGAGGCTAATTGCTTAATTGATATAACTGCTTGAATGTCTGTGGATGAAGGCTAGTTGCTTGAATTGGAATAATTTAAGTAAATGTTCATATGCGATCACTCTTTCAAGTGGTACATATTCGAAACAATTTTGCAAACAAACATGAATCAAGTGTTTCAATTCTTGCGATTTAGTCTATACTTGTGTGTGTGCGCATCACATAGTAGTGCTAGCCTAATAAACCGGAACGAGAGCATATAATGTACATAAGATTCATATCATGATTAGATAAGGCCGATATTTGATCGGGCGAGCGGGGTGCTCAATTCATGACCTTCCTCTCTCGTACCTAAGTTCCTGAGTCGAGACAATCTTGGTGATGACGGACATGTGGCCTTTGGCACGAGTCATGGGTTTCCTAAATTTTTTCAAAATAAATTATTTAGGTGGCGACTCTGTATTTGGCAAAGCAGTCTATTTTTGGCATTTTTTGATTCAAAATCGATTTTCCAAAAAGATTTGCCGAATTAGGACTCTTTGGTGTTTATCTATTTCACATTGCACTTGTGGAATCAGATTCAAAACCGCGGGGGTCCGATACTATAGGGCTTATTTCGACTTCCGATTGGGGGAGCGAAAACGTCGAACTACAACATGCACATTATTTAGTGTACTTCAATACGTTACTTTGTTTCGCACTACGTAAAGTTTTATCTGTAGGTATATTTCCCATGTAACTTGGCAGCAGTTTTTTTTTTTTTCCCCTTTCCCTTTTGGGGTGTCAACTGGTTCGAATTGCCTAGAGCCTGCCTACTATACAAATTCTGGCTCAAAGGTTTTGTTTTGTTTTGTTTTGTTTTGTTTTTGTTTTTTTTTTTTTTGGGTTGTTTGGTCAATCTTATATTCAACATATTTAACTAGTTTATTCTTTTACTCTTAACAGTTATTTTGTGTGTGTGTGTGTGTTGATGTTGTTTGCAGTTTAGTCTTGCTTAGAGGACATGACTGGGCATGTATTCAACATGTTGTAATGGATGTCCATGTACTTTTTCTAGAAATGGAAGTCTCTAGAGGGCAGATCGGGCTGTCCATGTAATTTTTATAGATGGAACCATGGATTTGTAATTCACGGATTTTCATTGGACTTTTACATTCTTGTGTGCAAATTTTATTAGATTTATGATCAGAAAATTCTGAATCCACTGCAATTACAGATTTGGCATCTTTAACATTTCGTGGGATACATGAGTTTGCATTATGGTTAAAAAATTCAGTATAAACATATGATATGCATATGGCTGCACCTCTAACTGATCCCATCATACCACCACTGCATTTGCTGTGTGGCTGTAACTGCTACCCTTTTTAGCATCGCTTTTGTCTGGCTACTATACAACTTAAGCCTCTTATTGAATGATAGGTTGTGGATTCACTTAATAGTCATCCCACTGTTCGGCCAATGCCACATCAACAACAATCTCATACATTTTCATCCCAAAAGATGAGCAATCATTTAATCAAAGCCTTTTTGGCAATACAAGACCTTATTAATTAAAATACTTATTCTTATTAAATGTAGGTTCACCTTTCAAAGAAAGAGAAGAAGAAGAGTAAGGAGAAGAAGAACTAACAAGGTAAAAGTTTGATGTCCATTTCTTTGAATAATAGGTTGGAACTGTTTATTTGAATAGGTTTATTGAATAGGACAAAAACTTGAATATGGAAAATGGAAATGCTTCATATGATATTCACCATCCATGCAGGTACTTCGATACATGCATGTTTGGTTCTCTTTCATTTCTTTCTTTTCTTTTATTTTTTGTCATTATTATTATTGTTTATTTTTTTTACTAACCTTTAAGTGTTTTGAATTGCTTGAAGAGTTAATGTTGCTCTTCAGAGAGAACTTCACAAACCCAAGTCTGATCGCTCTTGCATACATCTAGAGTTCGATATATTAGGAACTGGTATTATGTAAGTTTATGGCTGCCTAATTCATCTAATCGAGGTTCAGATTTAATTGTTTTATATGTATTGGATCATTGTGCAAGTAGTTCATTATATAGCCTTTTATGTGCAAAGAAAAATTAAAATGAAAAAAAAAAAATGAGGACGAATTTCGTGCTAATAAATTCTATTCTGCATTAAGATCTGTATTTGTTCAAGAATAGCTAGGTTTTAGTAGTTGACTGACTGTCTTGAGTGCAACTGTGCAATACATGTATATTGTGCATGTCTGGCATTACGTATTTATGGGTTGCCACCTTGTTGAGCTATTCATCTATGTACATTTTGAAAGGTTTTATATCTACATTGGAAAGCATTTATCCACATAAAATTAAGGGAGCAATGAACAAGTAAAAAAAAATGGAGTCTTCAACCTAGAACTAGAGGGGGAATGGTGAACAATGACATTTGCATGCCTGTGATTCAAAATTCAAGCTAGGACGCTGTTTTTTAAAATGGATAAATTTTAGGATAAAATTTTAAATGTAGATTTTTAAGATAAATTTTTGGAACTTATTTATCACACTATATTCTTTGTTCATGTTATTCCCTATGTTTCTTTTTATAATTTATGGTATCAGTGTTTTGTTTACAAGCATTCAAAAGTTGCACATGCTAGTGCTTGTTATGCTTCTCTCAATTTCGATGTAACTGGGGTTTGCCATAGCACAGAGGAGCATCCCAAGCAGAAAGGAAGTTTTGATAGTGGTTTATTCGCTCCATCTTGTACAGGGAAAACCTTTGGTGATTTATATATGATGAATAGAGTTTCTACTAGGTCCATCGAGGAAAGCAAACCTGAAGTCCAAAACTTCAGCAATAATGAGCTAATGATTTCTTTTGGCAGCAATGCACGGGAATAGTTGCTGATGTTATGAATAATGTTCCTATGGAGCAAACATTTAGTTTCGAAACTAATCTGAGTGGGGAAAACAGTACAATAGGGAAGGATGCAAAAGAGGAAAGCCGGTTACTTGGTCCATCTTGTTTTCCCAAAACATGCGCTGATGATAATCATTTGAGCAGGGTTCACACTGGTGGAATTTGGGATGGGCCCATGATGGATGTGGTTGTAAATTCTGAGCATGACAAGTTAACTATTGGTTTTGGCAGCATGAATACCCAATTAGGTGGGAATGTCATGCCTGGCAATATATGGAGACTTGATGAAGAAATTGTCTTGCAGGGTACTTCAGCTGAAATTTCAGCCCAGCAGCAGCAATCTGCAGGTTGTTTTCCCACCTTCGGTATGCTCTCAGATAAGGTACAAGTATCAATCTTGAAAATAGAGCATGTCACTAGTGAAAACTGTGAAAACTGCCAGTTTATTTTTGAAATTTTCGTAAGAACTACTACTATAGTATATCTTTTCTGTAAATTTTCATCATTTCTTTTCTTTTTTTTAACATTTTATTTGAAGGTTTGAAACTAATATCCTGAGGCAATATTGTGCAAAGCATTAAGTGTTCATTGCTTGGTTTGATGTATACATGTAATTTTAATTTGGATTTTTAAGATACTTTAACATTGCTTTTTTTCTTTTTTTTTCTTTTTTTTTTTTTTAAATTTGAAATTATAGTTCATAATGTGATGAATTGATAGCAATCTTTTGCATTTTTTTTTTTTTGTTCTTCTTTTCGAGATTAACTTTTATTCTTATAATTTAGTCCCACAACAGTTACAAAAATTGGGTTATTCAGGTTACTTGTTAATGCTTGACATCATTTTTTTATCTTTAGCAGGAAGAAAATGAACTCCTTGGAGTTGATGGCAAGTATGACAGCATGTCAAGTTTTCAAGGGGCACAATCAGGTCATATTGAACATGTGGAATTTAATTTCCTGACCATGCAAAATTTGAATTCTCTTCCAGGAGACTCCAAATCTGTGTCCTATAACACACGGATGGTTTCGATATTCCTATGGTCGTTTGTTTGTTCAATGAAAATTTATGTGGAAGTTCTATTGAAATTTATGATAATCTACTTGCTGAATTTGTCATTTGACAGGTTTGTTGCCTTATTTTGGTTTAGGATAAGCATGCAATGTTTCTCCACATTTAGTCAATATATGGAAATTTCAACAAAATTTTATCCATATTATTGCTATTTTTTACCTTTATTACAGGTATATTTTTAGTTCAATCACATAGAATTAGCATAATTTTCACACAAAAAAAAAAAGAAAAAAAAAGAAAAAAAAAAATGGCTATAACGGCGTTTTTAAAATGTTGCCGGTGGAAATTTCAAAAAAAAAAAAAAAAAAAAAAAAAATCTAATAGCCTTTTTCAAATGTCACTATATCACTAACGGTTAGATTTTTAAATTATAAAGACGTCTATGATGGCATTTTTAAAATGTCGCCGATTGTAATATAACGGAGTTTCTTAAGCACCACAAGGCTATAGCGACGGCCACATGTTCAGCGTTTGGTAGTTAACGTTACAAAAAGAATTAGCGACGTTTTTTACTGTTACAATGGCGTTTTTTTAAACACCGCTAAATGCCGAATTTCTTGCAATGTATATTGTTCATTAAGACATCAAGATATATGCCTATTTTCAATTTCTGAATAATGTCTGGAGAGACTGTCTATATGCAAATAGATGTGATAAAAATTTAAAAGTTATGTGGAAGTCTCTTACTTGTGTCTCCTTAATACTATACATAAATGTATCTTTTGTGGAATAAATTCTATTTCATTTAAATTTCTCATGCTTATATAATATAAGCTTGCCTATCGTGCAAAAAGTTATTGTCAATATGTTTCAATAATGTTCTCTGTTTTGCCGATCTTCCTTTAAATTATTAACACACAGTTCAAATTTCCCTTGGTAAGTAAATTACAACTTCAGTGCTTCATAATCTGGCAACTTGGCAAGTACCGCATGTCAAATATGTATATACGTACATATGCATATAGATATAGGAAGAAAGTCTTAAAATGCATAGGTTTCATAAACTTGATTCCTAGTACTGAAAGAAAGGGTAAAATTGATTTGAGAATCAGATTAATAACTTGTGTAATGAGGGGTTGAATTTCATTTAAGTTTCTTTTTTGATACTTTCTTTAAAGGATAAATTACAAATATATATTTTCAAATTTGTTTAAAATACTAATTACTTCTGTAGTTCTAGACCTGAAAATTATAAATATACCTTTCTTTATAGGATAAATTACCGATCTGAAATTATATCTCTTCCCTTTAAGTTTCTGATCATATAACAAATAATCTTTTCATTAATTAGCCATTAACTCAATTAATAGATTTTAATAATATCAAAAATATATTTCAATTAATAATTTTGATAATTTTATTGTTGTACAGAAAGGTAGTTAGGAATTTTATTTTTTCTATTAACACTGTTCAATGACAAATTATAATTTCAAATCTCAATTATATTTGTAATTTATCCAAATTTTTATATAAAAAGTTGGTTCTTTACTATTAAACTAGGGTTGCGTTTTCACCCCTCAATAATGCAAATTGGATTGGAGGTTCCTAATCCGGTTAATGTTTGGGAGCTGTAGAAAAGAAGTTCTAATAGCTTTAATATGTGTGCAGACCCCATTTGATGTGATGTTTTGGTCTTGTGATTTTTTCCCCCCCTATTTATACGTCACTTGAGCTCAATTAAACTCTAACTTTATGGAGACTCTAACTTTATGGAGACACTACCGTTCCCAATCCACCAAGTGGTTCAGTTTTGTGACAATCTTTACTTCAATTTGATATTAAACTTTTGGCTATAGATGGCAAGTGCTATCTGACATTTTACAGGTTTGATTTCCTAAAATTAGCTTGTCTATCAAATTAAAAAACATGTAGGGGATAAAGTTTCTATCTCTCACATAGCATGACCAACTCAACACTTTTAATTAGAGGATGAAAATATATTTTTTTATTTGAAAAGTGATTTTAAAAATCTCATTATTTACTTAAACTCCAATTATAAATTATCATTTTCTTTCGTAAAGATTTTCCTTCAAAATATTTTATCAAAAAGTGAATAATTTTTATTCATTCCAAAAATAGAAATTAGGGGTATTAGGGGCAACTTTTTTAGGGCCACCAATCATTTTCCAATTAAAAAACATGTAGGGGATAAAGTTTCTATCTCTCACATAGCATGACCAACTCAACACTTTTAATTAGACGCTGAAAATATGTTTTTTTTATTTGAAAAGTGATTTTAAAAATCTCATTATTTACTTAAACTCCAATTATAAATTATCATTTTCTTTCGTAAAGATTTTCCTTCAAAATATTTTATCAAAAAGTGAATAATTTTTATTCATTAATAAATATTTAATTTTCAAATTTTTGTTAAATATATTTAATATTAAACACATTTTAAAGGTATGATTTTGCTCTTTTTAATGATACCAATATCATAAAAATTAAATTTACATATTAAAAATTATTTGTAATATAATCAAACATATAAATAAATAGTGCTTTAGAGATACTCCTGTATTTTTCATTCTCCCTCCAAATATGGGCGATCAATCCATCCTTCTCCCATATGGAGATTGATTTAGAAGTTAGGTTGGAGGTGAACATCCTTCATAGATAAAGAAATGGAAGATGGATTGGAGAGGCTCGAAGTAGTTCATTAAGCAGATCCACTTTTATTCAATCCAAAATTTTATCATAATTAAACCCGAACAATTGGAGGAATTGAGGTTATTGTTGTTGCTGAATCACGACAGTAGATGTTGTCGAATAATTCGAGAGACGAGGGTTACTGTTGTGGCTAAATCATAGTAGTAACTATTAATATCGATGAGATATTATTTTCGAGTCTATTTTGATGATCTGTACCATTGATATTATAAGATTTGTCAACTATATCATCTATATGTAAAATCATACTATGATCGGATTCTAATTGTTTTCAAAAACATTAACGATAGTATCCTAAATGTACCGCCTATTTGTTTAAAAAAAACAAATATATATATGATTTTATTATGAGATTATAAATATAACATTATAATTTACTCGATAAATTTTATAATATTATAATATAAATGATTCAAATCATTAAAATAAACTCAGATTGAATATTTCCTCCATCTTTTTTCTCCGCTCTGATCTCCACCAAATCCATGAAAGCGATTAGGACAATGACCACCAGATCCAGCAGATCGACAACACCAGCGCCGTATGCAGCAAGAATGAAGAATTGAATGATTACTTCAGTTTACAAACACAAAAAACGGATTCAAGGTAAACCACGTTTGTGAATCATTCATTACTGTTAGGAAAAATTGATGTAAAAAAGTTTGACATGGGTAAGCCCATAAAGGATGTAGCCCACCGTTTAGGGCCCAATACATAATTCAAATATTAAAGCCCAACGTTGCTGGAGTTCAACATGGCATTAAGAACCAATAACATCTAAACACGTGGCAAGAGAAGGACAAGCCACATAAGCAGACAAAGATCCTGCAAAGTTATTGCACTGCACATCAGCCATTAATGAAGCCCCTTACAGCATTTATTGCGATAACCCCTCTCTGTCGAGACAGAACGGCCTCACCATGAACAAGGCAAGCTAGAGCATAGACTTTCGGCCAAGATGACAGGTCAGAAGGGACAACGAAATGATTACCAGAGGATATAAGCAGACGTCGAAGACAAGAAGAAGGTTAAGCCTTCTATCTCTAATCTATCTCTACATTTTCATCTCTCTTTATAACTTGCTCGTTGGAGGGTTTGCTGGGGGACTCCCCGTTCCCCGTTGAACTCTTGTGCAAGTTCCACTGTAGGCTTGGTACCTCGGACACTGGTTTGGGAAGTGTGGATCAGTCTGACCCGTTTCATCTGGAACACGTTGTATCATCAGTTGGCGCCGTCTGTGGAAACCTTTTGCTTCGTGTGCCAGTTGGGCTCATTGTCACCGGAGACCTTTTCCCAATAATCCCTTTCTGCCACCCACCAAGGTGGATGGTCACAACTAGATCCATGGCTTCTCACCACAATGTCGCCAAGCACCAAGTCGACCCTCCCAATCCAAACAACCCGCCGCAGTATTTCGCCGAGCTCACCAATAGCATTAACCGCTTGGTTGAACAAAACCAAGCCCTGATTAATGCTCTACTCCAAAGAAACCTTCCTATGCCTCCACCACCACCTCCAGATATCCCACTCAACCAAGAACGAGCCCAAAGCCATACTATCCAGCAGCCCAATCCACCAAACTTGGAAGGCTTACGACCCCTTTCCCCAGAAATAAACCTGCCACCCCGGGTCCCACCTCCATCGGTCCAGGTACCCACACCCGAGGGAGAAGCCAGTAGTGTCCAGCCCCCGCTGCATTCCAGCAGTGACAACATCCCACTCTGGGACGCGGAACTCCGAGCCATGAAGCTCCAACTCCAAGGAGTCATGCAGAACATACAGCATAAACCATCTATCACAGCCAACTCACCATTCGTTGCCTCCATCAGGGACAAACCTCTACCTCCTAAGTTTAAAATGCCCTCGATTGACTCTTTCGACGGTGCAACGGACCCAGTCGATTACTTGGAGACCTATAAGAGCCTCATGATCCTCCATGCATTCCCTAATAAAATCATGTGTCGAGCGTTCCCCGTAACGCTTAAGGGGTTAGCCCAACTGTGGTTTGGTCAGCCCGACAGACTCTGTCTCTACCTTTCAGCACCTGAGTGACTCCTTTCTCAGCCATTTCATTGGTGCCCAGCGCCAGCAGCGTCCGGCAACCCAACTCCTCAATATCCGTCAGACCGAGGGGGAGTCGCTGCGCAGCTTCGTCACCCGCTTCAACACCGAAGCCTTGCAGGTAGCAGAAAACGATGACAAGGTCATCCTCACGGCTTTCATGGCCGGTCTACGATCATCTAACTTCCTTTTTCTCCCTCTCTAAAAGCCCCCCGACCTCCATGGCAACCCTATTTTCCAAAGCCCAAAAATACATGAACTCCGAAGATTCCCTAGCCACCCGACAAGATTCTATAGCCAAAAACCCGACCCCCAGATATAAGAGAAAAGACTCAGAAACCAGGAACACCCAGTACACTCACCAAACACCTCAGTATACCGACCGACCATCCTGAGCTGACCGGTCGGTGCCAACCTGACCGCCCGGCCGGTTCGAATGATATACACCCCTCAACTCCTCCATGGAACAAGTCTTGAACCAGATTCAATGAGATTATTCCCTAAAATGGCCCCAACCGTCACGGTATCTTTCCAACCGGCGAGACCAGTCCAAATGCTGCCGCTTTCATCAGGACCATGGCCATAATACGGAGGAGTGTGTTAACCTCAAAGACCAGGTCGAGGGCTTGATACGTCAGAGATGTCTCAGTCGGTTCACGGAAGCCCGTCCTCAGCAGAGGCAAAGGACTGAACCCATTAGAAACAACCGTCGGCGCACCCCTCCTCAACAACCCGCACACCCTAACAAAGGTCATGATCGCCCTCCACAATAACCCCGAGCACAAGGTAACCCCGCCTCCCCTGTTGGAAAGATCCAAGTTATTGCTGGCGGGCTTGCTTGTGGAGGACCATCCCGCTTGGCTCAGCGGGCAGAACTCAGAAAAATAAGGCAGGGCTTAGACAAAGAAGTTGCCACATTGGACCGCCCTTCCAAACAGCCCAAGCAGTGGATGGAGCCCATCACCTTTACGGAGACCGACTGCACAGGAATCCGTTACCCCCATGACGACCCCCTCATCATCTC